GGCATAAGCAATTAGGAAATAACACTTACTACCCAGGAACAAAAAATAAGTAAAAAATTGTTATACAGTGTAATTTTGTAGATTTTTAACCTCGCCGTTTTGCGGCAAAATCATCTTCAGTAGGTGGGAAGGAATGAAGGCGCCCCTTGGGTTGTTAAAGACTTCTCCCCCTCTTTCCCCGGAACCACTGCATTCAGGCACTCTGCTGGCAGAAGGGCCCGGACGATTTCTTAGCCAGACTTCCCTGTCCCAGACGGAGCTTCAGCAGCATTTTCCCGTGCTCTTCGCGCTTGCGAGGCCCCCCAGTTGAGGAGGGGTGTTGTGAGCTCAGGGGCAGGGGGGACGTATGCGGAGGAAGGAGCCATTTCGCGCAATTACGATCGCGACGGCGTTGAACATTCTCTCAGCAAATTTCGGGAAATCTGCTTGTGCCGTCGGTGGCTTATTGCAGGCAGCGTGAAAACAAACGAACACCGGGGTGCACGACAGTTTGCTCTTCCCAACGAATTGTGTCCGTGCCCCAGACATATATGTACCAGAGCTGTGCTGGCGAGGTGCTCCGTAAATTCCTTGGAACGTTCCGACACCACAAAAGTCGTTTATTTCCTTTAATTTCACATTCGTCATTTTCTCCCCTGACGAACTATGGTGATTATATTTTGTTAACGCTGCCAATGCTGCGAAGTGGCTCAAGCCATGAGGGGGCTAATTGCCGCGGAACATTTAGCTGTCAAACCGGCGTGGGACCTCTCCGATTTCGCGCTCTCGTTTGTCGCGAGCGTCGGACGCGGGCCCGCCCTTTTTGGAGACCGAGCGAGCGGCTGAACCGTCAGGCCCTCTGTTTGTCTGGGCCGCTCGGAGCCGGGCCCGGAAATCGTTTTTCATAGCACAGGCTTGCTTCACGTGAATTTTTAGTAAACGAGAGAACGACGGGCGGTCGAACAGAAATTCATGACAGAAATAAACCGTCCTCGCCGTTTGACATTGGGGAAATTTTTACTCAAGCAGAAGCGCTCTCCGGTGCGTCACACCTGCGTGGTTGCCCCAGATAAGAGGGTAGATTTTCTCGAGTGTCGCCGGGTGGATTCGCTTGGAACGGGCGTGGTGGTGGCGAGATGTTCACTACCTCACCTGGTATACAGGAGGTCGTGGGATCGATCTCGACCCTGACACCTGCTGTATAATTGGAGTTGGCGTGTCTCTCTCTCTCATCATCATCACGGTGGCTAGGAGATGTTAACTACCTCACCTGGTATACAGGAGGTCGTGGGATCGATCCCGACCCTGACGCCTGCTGTATATTTGGAGTTTGCTTGTTTCTTTCCCTGCGGCCGCGTGGATTTTTCTCTGCGTACTCCAGTTTTTCCCTACACATTTAGAATCGACGTGCATTTATAGTGTTGTCTGCTCGTAATTTCCACGTGATAATCCCACTTTGTTGAGCGATGGCTTGTGATAGCCAGGTCGCTTTTTAAAAAGAGCTATACAGCTCAGTGACCTGGCAAAATAAAAAAATTGTCGAGTTTTTTTTTTCCCCATCGATCTCTTCCCATGTGAAGTTTCTTCATCGGCTGCGCGATTTCTTTTTTCTCGCCGCACCCCGCGCTACCGTGCGTGACGCGTCCCGGCAGCGCTCGAGACGCCGGAGCATGGCCCGACTTTGACCGCCGCTGACGTCTGTGTGTGTGCATGTGCACCTTTGGGGTTTTTTTGTTTTCCCTACCGTGACGGCCCCGCAACCTTCGGCCAAGGTCCGCAGCCCCTCGGAATGGGATCAAGGAAATGAAGCGACGCGTCCTTTTACGTGATAATTTTTATTTCTGAAAATGCCAAATATGCAGGGAAGATGCACGTAATGCTCATATGAGTGCTTTGGTTATTTATTTAAATACCTTTCGTGCCAAGTCAGCGCTGCAATGTTAAACTTACAAGAAAAAGAAAACCTCTGCTCTTTATAGCTATTACTTTATTGCTGTGCTGACACGATCAAATCCACCCTCGTCAACGACAATGTGGCCTTAGAATAAAAAAAAGTTTCTAATTGGCAACGTTTTGGGAATGATCCCCCTTCATTACACCCGAGCGGAGAGAGATAGAGTGGATAATAGGGGTTGGAGACTGCATTTAACACCACGGGGCCTATTCTTGGTTCTTTCGGTAAAGTCACGTAGAAGGGAAACAATACATTAATAGAAATATAAAACAATAAAATTCTCACGACGTTTCGACTGTAACACAAGCAATCATCATCAGGTGTGAAAACCACAGCAAGAATTTTTTAAAATTTTTCTTGCTGTGATTGCTTGTGAATTTTATTGTTTTATATTTTTATTATTTTATTGTTTCTCTTCTACGTGACTTTACCGAAAGAACTAAGAATATAAATTCCTGCAGTCACAAAAGCTTTAAACCACGGGCGCCTGATTAGAATTAAATAAAACAATTGTTTTCTGGTGACCAGTTTTTAAATTGACATATGAATAGTTACACTCTTAGTAGCTACTGTAGTAGCAGACAAATCCTTCAATAATCACAAGTATTACTTTCATATATTTATATATAAAATTAAAAAAAGTTTTTTATGATCAAATGTTGCTGGCACAGTGCATTTTGGGGAAGGTTTTGTTCTCTGTGATGATTAACAAGGGGCAACTCAGAATCCGAATCTTTATTTATCCTGGAAGAGACCGATAAGCTATGAAGCTCTTTTTTCACAGATGTTCAGTAGGCGCGGGTAAAGCGGGTTACATCAACAAACAATACAACACACGGTATGAGTGCCAGATCGAGAAAATGTAAGCAAGTTGCTAAAAATAAATACAAATTGCACAAGTATCGAAATTCCTGTCCATTCGTCAACACCAAATGGAAGCTTGGGAAAGGCAGCAAAACAACAACAAACCCGGTCCACAGCAAGACAGCAGTCAACTATCGATACACTCCCCCTTGCACAGTGCATCCCTGGGCCCAATCACCAACCGCCATTCGCACCATGATATCCCAAGCTAAGCAGCGTTCAGCATGGCCACTTGTTTGGGTAGCGGCAGGCTCCTCTGGAATGCCAGGTGTTGCAGGCTTGGGCTATGAAATGACCTGACCAAGAGATGGCAGTACAGAAAGTGGAGTGTTGATATTGATCTAAACTAAACTTTTATTTTATTTTACCAGGTAAGGCCCACTGAGCTTGTATAGCTCTTTTTCAAAAGCGACCTGGCCACAAATGATAGCTCAGCGAAGTGGCTTATCATGTGGAAGTCAATAGCAGCCAAATAATCTAAAGGCACACGTTTATGAACGTGGAGGGGAAAAACCGGAGGACCTGGCAAAAACGTCACAGTAGTCAGAGTCATTTAGGGATAGAATCCACGACCTCCGGTGGAATGTCTCCAGGTGCTCGTTTGTGGATCTGGCCAAAACACCTCAAGCGCGGGACTCTCCTGAAACGAATAAAAGCCGCGTCTTCAAAGTCAGCGAGGCCTTTCTTGGGTGGTCAAGGGTATCATCATTATTATTATTACACTTACTCGTAGACTTATAGGCTTTAAAAGTTAAAACGTTGAGTCATTTGAAAAAAGCAAGAATAGGCTTTCAGCCACAAATGATTAGTTCAGTGTACTGAGTGCATACTATACACACGGTCCTTAATAGAGGTTTTTTTTGGGTTAGATCGCATAAATATAAATGTGATGTTAAACCCCGCCACCACCTGGCACAGCCAATTAGTAAGGTTTGTCACGTTAACAAAATGTGCCAATTAGTTACTCGTTCAGCACACCGCTGTGTTGGAGAGTAAACCCACAACATTAACAATTCGAGTACCGTGACGTTTCGCTGGTGATTAAAACAACCAGCATCATCAGGCGATAGCCAGAGTTGTGAAGAATTCCTCCTTCTGCTCACAGTGATGTCATCACTGTGAGTGAAGACCAGAGGGGGGTCATTGTAGTCATATAATGAATATGCCATACCTATCATTGTTTTTTTAAATTCACAGTTAATCTAAATACATAATGTATGTGTATAATGCATGTACATTATGTTGATCTAAGAGTATGCAGAGAATATGAAGTACCTATTATTGGCTGCTCACAGTCAATCAACATACAGTGGAATGCTTTTTTATGGTTAGTTTGTTGAAAATACGAATCTTAGTCTCATAAAGTGCTCATTCAGAACGCCCACAGGTTAGTCTTTTACCCTGTGTTAGGGACTGGACTGGGGAAGGAGATATCATTGAACTTATTTTGAGATATCTTCATGTAACCACTTTTATCCACACTAACCCCTACTGCATTTTCCACATACCCTGCTACAGACAGAAATGCTCATCACATGGATGTCAAGCTGATGATTTACATTAAAAAACAATTGAATGTGACAGATTATTTTGGGCAGTAACTGGCAACCGAAAGCATAAACTCACTGCACTCGGGAATCCAATTTCATTGCTGGCAGCAGAAATCCAGAATCGACCCCAGGTTCTCAACAGTGCTGGCTTAGTGTCCATTTGACGTCAGAGTCACCTCCACAAATCATATTTAAAAGATCCGGCACCACGGAGGAACAGCTATAAATCTTGTGGGTTTACTCACCATCACACCGATGTGCTGAAGTAATAGCTCATTGGCACGTTTTGATCACGTGACAATCCTTACTAATTGGCTGTCGGGTGGTGGTGGGTCAACTAAACATTTATACTCACTCGATCTAACCCCCAAAAAATCCCTTCATTGTGAATAGCTCGGTATTTCTTTCAGCTGGATCTGTCCAGGTCAGGGACCTGGAAAATGTTCCCACGCCCAGCACACCACATCCATTTACCGACCCCTCGCTACGGCTACGGCTTACTGCAGTCAGGTGCCGCCTACTGCAGCCTACTGCCGGCGACCACCGAAAAAAAATATAACGTGAAAAATCCGTCCCCTCGGCAACGGTGATGGAGTTGTACCATGGTTATCGACGTGCACATTTAACATCCCCTCCCCCCGTGTGCGCGCCAGACATGCGCTGGCCCCTGCCGTGCGAGATGTGCCCGGTGTGGGTTTTCCTAGACGTGCTCTTCTCCACCGCCTCCATCATGCACCTGTGCGCCATCTCCCTCGACCGCTACATCGCCATCAAGAGGCCCATCCAGCACAGCCGCTTCAACTCACGCAGCAAGACGCTGCTCAAGATCACCGCTGTGTGGGCCATATCTATTGGTCAGCCGCGCAAAGCTTTGCGGTCGCGATTTTCGTTTCGTTTTTATCTTATTTACCGCAATGCTCGGAATGTGTTTTTTTAAGTCTCTGCCAAAAAGCCGTATATATATATAAATACAACTATTTTATATTAAAAGTTAAATGATCAAATGTTCCTGGCACAGGGCGTTGTGGGGAAGGTTTGTTCGCTGTGAGGACTAACAAGGGGCAATTCAGTGTCATGATCTTTATTTATCCTGGAATAATCCGATGAGCTATGAAGCTCTTTTTCACAGACGTTACATCAACAAACAGTTCGAAAGACGATACACGATACGGGTGCAAGATGTGTGTTGAACTTATTTCGCACGTAGCCAACCGTGCTAATCGGAGGTGCAAGCAGGTACGAGTCTGGTGAGTACTTGGGCGGGTGGCCACCACAGCTCGTTGGTCGGCGTGGGGCTGCGATATCTCCCAAGGTGATGTTTAGGGCACCCCCCCCCCCCCCCTCGTGATGTGTGGTGGGTTTTCTCCGGGTTCTCCGGTTTCCTATCGCATGAAGCCAAACCGCTCATGAATGGTCATGGCCAGACATCCCAATTCTGAACCCTCGTGAAGGAAGTCGTTTTTTTTAAAATATAGATTGAAAACGAACTTCCTTAGAACTGATTTTTGTGTTTAGTTTGTTGTCCTTCCCCCGCATCTTTCATTAGCGTGGTTGGCTACATACAGTGAGAAAGAAGTTCAACATATGTATATATATTCAGACACTGGAGTGAGGTTTTTACCTTGATAAATCAAGTGCATTTAAAAATAATCATCTCCTCGCGGTCGGTCTTGAGACTCCGCGAGGATCAGTCCTGCATCTCCGCTTAGCACAGTTGGCTACGTACGGTGCGAAAGAAGTTCAACGTACACACGTACAGTACTTGTATGCAGTGGGATCACCTCCGGGCCTGCCGCTTAGTCTCTGTGATTACCGCACACTGGGTTACAGCAGTCGGTATTTTATTTACCACAAACCACAATTTGTTCCTGGTTTTTGGCACTTTGCAATGCTCCATCTCGTGTGGCGCTACGATTCGATTTTAACTTTTGGCCGTATTTTTGTTTATTAACCTCTGTGGGGGAACAAAAAATAATGGTGCCCTGCATTTCCGTTTCCACCCGGTGTTTATCCGATGTCTCCCTTGAACGAACACAGGACTCGTGGTTAATGTCTCGATTGGTACTCACCCAGAGCCGTTAGGCCTCTCAACCTATTACCACTTACCTATCCGCCTGCCTATACAGCTGCACGTACACGTACAGTACAGCCCTTTTGCCATTCCACTGCTGGATGGTCCCCCACGTCGTGCGGGTCACGGAGGCTATTCGAACATACTTCCCTGTGCTGGTCAGGGTGGGTTGGTGAAGGTGGGGAGCATAGACGTGGAGGCATAGAGGTACAGTACAATGACGGATTTTACTTCATTGCCCTCTGCTGCCCACGACATAGCCCGCAGCCAATGGCAGCGCTGTTTTTTGCACAGTGGCCACCAATCCAAGCACGATACAGGCTCAAATTTGCTTAGCTTCTAACGTTATGATGGGCTTGGTCGCATTCCCGGGTGATGTGATCGGGTATGTCTACCTGCCTGCTCGTTTACCTGACCTGCCTCTCTGCCGACAAGGCCTCTATCGATTCATCGATCAAACCGATTCCCGCGTTCACACTACGCGGATCGGTCAACTGGTCAATCCAATCCGTAGACCATATATACGTCGTAGGTGATAGGCTCACACGACCCCCTGGAGCCACTAAAGGCCACTCCATTTACCACGATCTTTAAAAAATACGTACATGCAGGTTTTTCAATTGTGAATTGTGGTACCTAAAATCGCGACGATTCTGCAAGTGGTGAGGCATGCTGGCTACACCGCACCTGGCATGGGTGAGCTCCGTTTCACTCTCCCTACCCCCCGGATCGTGTCGCCGCATGGCCAGGAATCGCGAGCCCCATCCCGGTGCTGGGCCTGCAGGACCAGCAGCACGTCTTCGTGAACGGCGCGTGCATCTTGAACATCCAAAACTTCATCATCTATGGCTCGGTGGTCTCGTTCTTCCTCCCTCTGCTCATCATGGTCGTCATCTACGTGCTCACCATCCGGCTGCTCCGCGGACAGGTCGGCCTCATGGAGGTCAGCCGGGGCAGCAGCTCGGTATCGGCCGTGACGTCGGCGTCAACCAGGAGGGGCAGCGAGCACCAGCGTGTCATCTTCCGCCACAAGGAGACGCTGGAGCGCCTGCCGACGCTGCTCGACGGCGAGCGGTTGAGCGCGGTCGGCGGTGCCGCGGCCGCCGTCGCCGCCTCGATGGGCACGCTGCGCAGGACGCAGGCTGCGCACAGCCGCTCGGCGCAGGCGCTCAGCAACGAGCGGCGTGCCTCCAAGGTGCTGGGCATCGTCTTCACGCTCTTTCTCGTCATGTGGTGCCCCTTCTTCGTCACCAACGTGACGTCGGCGCTGTGCCCCGAGTCGCTGTGCAGCGTCGAGGCGATGGCCAAGCTCATGGACATATTCGTGTGGGTGGGCTACGTGTCTTCGGGGGTCAACCCGCTCGTCTACACGCTCTTCAACCAGACGTACCGCCAGGCGTTCCGCCGCTACGTCGCCTGCGACTTTCGTCGCGCGCGCCACCGCAGCTCCTCCAAGGAGCTCACGCAGGCCACGGTGCTGGGCTCGCGCCGGCGGGCGTCGCTCGCGCCCAACGGGCGCCTGCACTCCGTCGACAGCGCCGCCATCGGCGTCGTCGGCGCCGGCCACCACCACAACGGCCACCGGCACCGGCGGTTGTCGGAGGCCGCCGTCTCGCAGGCGGAGTGGTGCGGCGTGGCGGCGCTGTCGGCGGACGCGGCGCCGGTCGCCCGGCACGTTTACGAGGGGACCAGCTGCGTGTGACTCGGCGGTTGGCAGTGGCGGCTGCAGTGGCGCCGTGACCGCGTGTGTGCACTTATACGAGGACTGGTTTTGCCGTTTGCGACCGATGGGGAAAAAAAGCCACTGCTCTATGGGAAAGGGGACTGCAGCTGCTGAGTAAATTTTTTGCACGCTTTCCATCTGTTTTTGTGTTTCAGGTTCAGCAGAACCTCGTTTTGAGAATTTCAGGGTTCATGAAGAGTGCTTTTTGTGAGGTGTTTGTTACGTTTTACTTCTCTTCCCATTTCTTGACGCATTGACTCCATTTTGGAACTCTCACGAAGCAGCTTGCAACATGCGTCAGAGAATGGCCGATGGAAAATAATTTTCACGGAACAATCCTTCCAGGTGGCCTCTTAAGCTGTAAACGGTCGGGAACGCAATTTCCACATTCCTTTCCGCAATGAGATGGTTTGTCGCATGGCAGTCAAAGTGATCCCTTTAATTAACAAAGAGCTGAAGTTCAATCGAATCGATTGCATTATCAATTAGAACGGGGGGTTGTTTGTTCGTGTGGTCATTGGTGACTGCCGGGTTGAAACCATCAACTCACCTTGAGAAACCAGTTTAATCAACGGGTGGCTCTTGTGACCCGGATTCAAGCCCAGCATCTAAAATCTTGACTTAAAGCTTTTGTGACTGCAGGAATTCATATTCTTTGGGTGTTTCGGTAAAGTCACGTAGATAGGTTCAAAGAAGGTAACAAAAAATAAGAATTTATTATTTTATGTTATTTTCATTCAATCCAGCATCTCAGTTTTGCAATTCCGAGGTCACGACTTGATTCAAAGGCTTGGCTTTGTTTTGGCATTTTGGCGGAAGCGGAATATCTTCAGGGGTCACGGGAACTGATGCCACGTAACGCATACGAATGGAGAGTAATCAATTCTTAAAGGCGCGATCCGATGCGGGTATTGCGAGAGAAGTATTTGGGTTTCAAAATCTATGGTCACTCAAGTCCAGTGGTCACTCACAATCAACTGTTTAAAGCAGCGGTTCTCAGAGTGCGGTCACCGCACCGCCGGCGGTCCACGATGCTCCTCCAGGTGATCCGCGGGGCTGTATCGCAAACTCAGCTTAATCTGGACAATAACGACGTTTGCAACTTTTGTTACCGACATTGATATTTTTTTAATAATTAAAAAAATTGAAGTCAGGTAAACTACACAGATTAAACTAGCCTCACCATGACATATAAATCCCCCCCCCCTCTAAAAAAGCCCTTTTGGCTGCATTTAAACAAATAATGTTTTCATGTTCCAGTAATATGAATCATGTTGTAGTAATGGTATTTAGTGAGAGAGAGAGAAGGGAATACATTTTGTCACCAGGGGAGGGGGCTGAGTGGTTCGAGGGGATAAACAAGTTTAAGAAACGCTGCATGAGAGAAACATTGGTCTAAAACACTGGGGATCGTTCCTCTAAGAATTAATTATTTTTAAAACGTACGCAAAATACACAACATCTTGAGGTGATAACACTTTAGGCCAACGGGATTTCTGCGTACGGCTGGTGTGGATGTTGAGCGACAGCTGCAGCGTCACGGTGAGGAGGCGTTTGAGCCCGGGCGATTGCGTCAGGAGTAGCGGAGCAGTGCGTCGCTGCTGCTGCGATGACGACGCCTCCTCCTCCTCCGTGTTTGTGAACCGGCCATCGAGTCGTTCTCAATGCCCCTAGGTTCTGCTGAGGGTGACCAAGGTCGCCGCACACTGCCAGAGATTTTCATCTTCCGTCCGTGCTTTGTCATCAATAAGTGTCCGCATCAGCTGCTGCCACGGTTTGCGTGAGCCTCGCGGAAGATCGAAGCCGGCCGGGGTTATCCCACGATGACAAAACGGAACCAACGGCAAAGATGAAAACGAGTCGGCGAAAATGAGACGAGAAAAAAATCGATTCGAATCTTGGGCGCCCCCAGATCGTGACGATTCATTGAAATTCCCGGGAGGGGGAGGGATGGTGTATCATTACATGACCCGTTCGTTACCCCTGGTAACCTCATTTTTACCACTCAATGCTCTGTACATTGGTGAACGGGATACGGGTTCTCACACAACTTGTGTGTGAGAATGTATTTAGACAGACAAGGTTCTATACGACCATAGATCATCTCCTATTCATGACAAAGGTCTTCCAGCCTCAACCGTTACCTGCAAACGTATTATTCCATCCGCTATATTAAATCACTTGTATAGTATTTATTTGTTAACCTGTGGAAGAGCAGAGACGGTTAGGGATCGAATTTCTCCTGATATTGTAGGGGGATGCAAGTGACATTGTTCATAGGTCCTGCAGTTATCTCGGTATAATGAGGGAAGTGAATCGTATTAACACTAAAACCACGGCGTAATTTCTCAAGGAATATTTTCCTAGGAAGTTGCGGGAGGTGGGTCGTTGAAATCTTTCTAGAGCTCAGCCCCGGACAGCTCCAGCTGAAATTAAAAGTTATTGAAGCAAACAAACGGCAGCCTGGGTTTTTGTTACTCTGCTGCTCGAGCTGCACCCCATGGGGTTCCACACAAAATTGTAAATCAACACCCGAGGTGTTTTAACTCGTGCTGGGAGATAATTAAATGTACCACTTTACAGAGGGCAAATGGGAAACATTGCACCATTGACTTTCGGGTCAGTTCGCCGTGGAAGTAAAATGTGCGCCGTGTTCCCTCGTTCGCCCGACACAGCCAGTTCAGAAAGTTGTCACGTGTTGAACTGACGTGGCCAATTGATTACTCCTTCAGCAGCAACACCGATGTCGTGACAGGTGCTGCAAGGTCCGAGCGTGTCCGTCCAGCGCTCGCCGAGCTGCATTGACTTGCCGAACGAATAGTTTGTTATAAGGTCGCCCTGATTACACACAAAGTGCTTGCCAAATTGAACCACAATATCTTGCTGATCTTGTCAAGGAGCATAAACCATCACGTGAACTCCGGTCCATCCTCGCAAGCAGCCAGCTTTTGTCTGGCCATCGACCAAGGAAGGTCACCGCATCGCTCGCTTTCAGATGCGCTTCTGCGGCCATCTGGAACGCTCTTCCTTTTGATATTAGGAAGCCACTGGAGCTATGCACTTTTACATCTAGATTGATCATTTTTTTAGAACTGCTTTTTGTGTTGTTTGTTGTCCTTCCCTTGCACCTCCGATTGGCAATGTATGGTGTGAAAGAAGTTCAACATACGTACACCGGTGGGTGGGTGCTGTTGTTGGAGAGCGATCCACACCACGTTGAACATTGCGTACGGACTCACGCTGGTAGTTTAAACCAGCATCATCAGGCAGTTGGATTGCTTTCCAACATAATCGCTGGTGCTGCTGAAGCGGTAATAAATTGCAACGTTTGTTCATCAGCTTTATTAATTGCCTGTGTCGGGTGGAGGAGTGTGTACGATGCACATTTTACTTTGCGCAATCTGACCCAAAAATAATTTATGAGTCGTAATATTTGTCGCGAAAGCCTACGTGTTAATATGAAGTGGAAACGCTGTTTACCCCCTTAACCTTAGGGAGGAGGAGAAAAAACCGGCAAAAGGAGATTCCCTCCTGCTCATTGCAAGGCTAATTAAAACCAACCACAGCTGAGGCAGCACACTGAGCCAGTACCGTTGAGGACCTGGGTTCGACTCCAGGGTGTCAGCCTGGCCACCAATGACTGCGCACACACAAAAAAAACGTCATATTAAATTTGGTGTATCGCTAAAATGTTGGCTAGAACCCAGCTCCGAGAAACACCGACTTTAGAGTTTTGACTGCCATGCAACAAAAGTTTATCTGGTCGCAGGGCGTGTCGGAACACGCAGCGCCCTCTAGTGCGTGGAGGGAGGTCACTTGCAGGGATCTCAGAAGTAGTTCTGTGATATCCCCATCCACGGGCCGTTTTCCAACGCACGAGATGACGCGCTCCCACTTCGGGAGAGAGAGTTTCACCGCCACACGACTCCGACAAGCACAAATAGGAGTGACTTTGTGAAACGGGAAAAAAAAACTAAAATTTTACAAAAAGATTCAATGGAAACGCTTTACATGGAACAGCAGGAATCAGTTGCCAGGTGAAATATCAACCACAGCAACCGCCACTGCCAAAAGACCGCTGAGTTAAATAGCACATCAAAAACGATCGCGGTCACGGTACGCTTCCCGTCATAGCTTGCGTTGCAGAAGTCAACCGTGGGCGTAGTGGGCCGATACCCATCGATTAATCACGAATTCTTATGCTCGCATTGCACACGTCGATTCGCATGACCCCTGCTGAGCAATAGAGGTTGCTACCATTTACCGTAATATAGTTACAAAAAATATACAACAAACGAATCTTCAATAGAATGGCAACTCTGAAGTGTCGCGGGGGGAAGAATCGTTGCAGTCCATAATATTGTTTGCCCGTAACGCAAAACCATGGAGGTTCTTCGCGGTTGCGCTGCACACAATCTGTGATGCGCTCTCCCGGTTGAGCCGCGCGGAACGTCAGCACGACGTCAGACGTTTCCGCTGCCGTCCATTGAATTCAGTTAATTGAAGAAGCTCCCCCCGCCCCCCCCCCCCCCACCCCTAGCGAACACGTGCGGAGCGAAACGTCGGACACGTTGCGCCGACAAAACCACGCCGTGGTACGGGCGTGAAACGTTGGACACGTCACGCCGACAAAACCACGCTGCGACACGGCCGCGACAAGGGCATCGGAGAGCTTCCATCGACTGTATTTGTCGTTGAGACCCAAAAAATCTTCACGCCACCTCTTTGATTCCACGGTGTAAAACGAGGAATGTTGTCTGCGTAATTTAAGTGCGTCTTACCGCGCGACGAGGTCTCGGTTTATGCACAATGTACATATATACATTAAGAAGACGTTTATATTTCCAAGCACTTGTGTATATACCCGGTGCTTTCTACGTACAGTATTTAAAATAAATATATGAAATTATAAAAGGCAGAGTACAATGCGAATGTAATTGCCGTTTTTTGTTTGTTGAGGAAGCCGTTTAATGTTGTCAATGAGACTAATAAAGTAGGCGGTGTACCTACAGCAGTGTCTTCTGACCTCCTCTGCTTCAAACGTCATCGACGCCTTTTATTACTGCGGGGGGGGGGGGGGGGGGCAACAGTGAGGGGTTGGTGGATCGCCAGGATGCGAAACAGCGACATTGTTTGTTGGCCTTCCTCCGCACCTCTGATTAGCATGGTTGGCTTCGTACACTGCGAAAGAAGTTCAACATACATACCTCTGAACACTAATTGGCTTATAACACCTTCATATATAAAAACACCGCAGAATTAGGGCAATTGTTGGTGCCTGTTAATCATAAACGCTGCCTTCCCGCTCGTCTGTGGTTCTTCCTCGTGTCTCCGAGTCGCCCTCTCCCGTAGAGCGAGCGAATACCGTGTGGCGGAGGGGCACCGTTAAAAGTCTAAATCATAATTATTGCTTCCAACCGATCCCGATGATTTCTCAACGATTCCGGCCAATTGCCAATCATGAGCGATAATTGGTCGTGTAGAATTTTCTTCGGGTCCTCCGGTTTTTCCCTCCACATTTAGAAACATCCTCTTGGGGTATTTGGCTGCTATACATTTCCACGTGATAATAAGCCACTTCGTTGACCTATCAAATTTGTGGCCAGGTCGCTTCTGAAAAAAAGAGCGACATAGCTCAGTGGGCCTTACCTGGTGAAATAAAAAAAAGTTTATAGAACGAGAGCACGTGGGCGTCAACCCACGCTTGCGAGTACACAGTGTACAGTCGAAACCAAAACAAATTCTGGCTCCCTTACTAGGCTGGCATGCCAACTTAACTTTTTTTTAGCAAAACTGTAAACAGCAATAAATTAACGGAGCGAGTTGGTTGCTCGTGGCCAAGAGGCAAATGCACTGGAGTGGTCAGGCTTGGATCCCCTGCCTGCACTGCCCCCTGTTGACAATCCCGCCTGACTGCAAGAGGTCACTCTTAAAAGCAGCGGTTATAGTCGCGTAGCCATCAATGGGGCCCGTTTAGAATTTAGGTTCCTCCAGGCGTCGCTGCGATCTATCGCCCCTAGCCAGGCCTCCTCCTGCTGCTGGATAGACACGGTCCGCGTCATCGAGAGCGACGACGATCCGCGATCAGCACCAGGTCCAGCCTGGGGTGTCCCCCACGAGCCCACACGTGGTCCGGCTTCATTCCGGATCTATTTTGGAGGCTCAACCGCTGGGCAAAATTCACTGCAAAAACACCACTTGAACAAAAACGGCCCTCTGTGCGACAGTCACATTTTTATTTTTTTCACAGCAACATTTATTCTTGACGATTAATACGGGAACATTTTTTAACCCAGTTGCACAAACGGTGTTTTGTGTCGCAAAAAATGCAACGGTAAAAACCGCAGGATTTTTCTGTTTACTTTTCAAAGCATCTTGTATGTATGGTGAACTTCTTTCACACCGTACATAGCCAACCGTGTTGATCTTAAGATACAGTCACATATTAGCCGCCGTATGAATGCAGAATACGACCTGCATTGCATTGTAAAAGCAGGCGGCAGGTTATTACAGCTTTAGGCTAGGCCACAGGCATCAATCGGTATGTACGCTGAATTTATTGCGCACCGCACGTAGCCAAACGCGCTAATTGGCGAGGCAGAGGCTCCCCAAAGTTGGCACCAAAAGCCATTAAACCAAAATAACGAGGGACCCACAAAAGCCTTCACATGGGCTTGCGAGAAAATAATTAATGGGAGAACTCGGTTGCCACTGAGTGTTATACTCACAAATTAAAACTCCTTGTGGTCAAATTGAAAACATCTGCTAGATACCCATGAGCGTGGCCACCCATTTTTCATTCCGGCTCTTTTAACCTGTGCTCAGCAAACTTGGTAAACAAAACTAAAATGCGAGGTGTAGTTATAGACAGCAAAGGTACGAGATCGGCCCCAAGCCGACCCTGACGCCTCTATATTTGTAAGTATTGGCAGTACACCGGTGCAGGATAACACAACGATCCTCATAAAACAGTCTTACCATGTCTCTGTTGCCCCTTCAGTGAGCGGCATATTTTCCATCAGAAAGTTGACTTAGAGTTAGCAGCTACTTTCCCAATCAAACGTGACGAGCATCAATATTTTGATGCCACCGTCCGCTAAGAAATGATACCAGAAATGAATCGAGGAACCATCCGACCAAGTCTAGGGCACGAGGAGTCAAATCTTTTCCTTTTTGAACATGGGAGCCAATCGTCATCAGGCTGGGTGCTGCTATACGGCAAAGCTTTGTGGGCAGCCGCTCACAAATTTCGTCTTCCGATTGCTTCGACGTCACGAGAACTGATTTTGCCGCAACACTACCCCGCAATATTTTCTGTCCGGGGCTGCGAATCATGAGAAAATAAATAATTATAGTGAAAAAATTGCTTTTTCTTATATACTGCGCACCGGTGTACCGCCAATACGTTCATTTGGTGTTGGCGTGTTTCTCTCATCATGTGTATTTGGCTGCTATAAATTTATGTGTGATAAGCCACTTCATTGAGCTGTAATGTGTGGCCAGGTCGCCTCTGAAAAAAGAGCTATATAGCTCAGTGGGCCTTACCTGGTAAAATAAAAATAGTTTAGTTGAGTTAAAGTGGCGGCATTCTGATTCAATTTTCTGTCTCCATTACCGCATCATGCTCTGCTCCAGGATTTTACCAACTTTTCAAACGAATAAATTAATTGGATAATTAAACATTTATAACTTATGCCACAGCAAATTGCGAGTTGAGACAACGGACAGAGTTAAGAGCAACCCTCAAAATGCTGCTCTAACCCTGTTGAAGCCTCAATGAGACACTTAAGAGGTGGCCACGTGACTCGAGGCTTAATAGCACTGACGCCAGCGATGCTGATATCCTGCGTGCTAAATCTGGGTTTTAGGCGCCCACTAAAAAGTGTGGAGCGAGCTGCCAGTCTCAGTCTAGTCACAAATTACTATAAAAAACCCATCTTGCTATATTCGTTTTTTACTTACTTTTTGCTATATTCTGGCTCCGTGAATTAAAAGGATATCGGTTTGATTCCCATACGACAAACATTTCTGTGTTGCAGGGTGTGTATGTGACAGTACAGTTATCCTCAAGTTTATGGTATTAGGTCACTTGCAGTGATCGAAGAAGCAGTTCTCTGATATATCCTTCCACGGGCCGTTTTCCAACACTCGGGGGGACGCGCTGCTCTGGAAGAGTCCTAAAGTGGACACGTCATCGCACATCATGATGGCGATAGTGCAAACAGAATAAAAAGACAAAATAAAGTTGAAACAAATATATTAAAAAAACTTTTTTTATAGGATAACAGCACTTATTTGGAAGGTGATCACTTAAGGGGCGGTCTCGGTGAAACCAGTCGGGAGCAAAGTGCACTGCTTAATTGGCGAGTTAAGATGCATTGATCCGTCAACTTTATTTTATTCTCACGCTCACCGTACACGCATCGCGTCATGCGTGTGAGTACTAGTTATTGGTATTCGGAAACCCCGTGCTTTAAGCACTCACAGCAGCACTGCTGCCACTAGAAAGCGCTACGCAGACCACAACGGCAACATAAAACATAGTCGGATCGCAACGTGACCCCTGCATCGGAACTACTCATCAAATCGCGAGCACGCGCCTGCTGTGTCACGCAAACATAAACTTCCCAAACAACTAAGTGAATTAGGGGGCCAACTTTTAAACTCACGGCGAATACGGAATTCCGGATCAGAGTCGCGCGAAGACTTTGGCCAACGGGCATCGCTTCGTCCGTCCGAGCCATCGCTCTCCCGTAACACAGCCCCCTTGCCGCGTGACCTCCGACCCGATGGTCGCGGCAAGAGTGGCCGGGGTGCGCCGCGTGCTCACGCCGGGAGGTCCTCGCTTGGCGGCAGCGAGCGCAGCTTCGTGTAGACGCTGAACTGCTTCGAGCCCAGGTAGGCGCCGAACGCGGCCTGCGCCAGCATGAAGGGCGTCAGGCGCCGCATCACCGGCTTCGACAGCTTCAACATGTGGCGCAGCGCCTCTCCTGGCGTCGGCGCATCCCACGGGCGGTACCTGCAGGACGGGGGGGGGGGGGGTCGCACGTAGACATTTCATGATCGTTTTTTTCTTTTAAATAAGCATCGCCTTCCTTCGACCACATCTAACGGGTTGTGCGTTCATCATAAATGTTGACTGTGCTTGTCCTTGATCGATCACGGTTATGGTTGAAGTGAAAGTTAAGTAAAAGTTGGAGTGAATGTTAACGTTAACGGCCAGGGCTAACATCGGTGGCAGGTTAATACCCGCACTGGCTCCCTCACCTTCACCAAACAACAATGAACGGAGTGATTAAGTATGGTAAAAAAAAACCCATGAATGAAAGATGGGGAGTCCATCATCCAGCAGTGGATTGATGACTTTCTCTAAGTACCAACGCAAAACGACGACACTTTACACATTCTCCAACAGAGGGAAGGACGATATGACAGAAAACTAAAACTAAACTATTTTTTATTTTACCAAATAAAGCCCACTGAGCTGTATAGCTCTCTTTCAGAAGCAACCTGGCCACAAATGATAGCTCAACGAAGTGGCTTATTGTGTGGAAATTCTAAATCTGGAGGGAACAACTGGAGGACATTGAGAAAAATCCACACGACCACAGGGAGAGAGGCATGCAAACTCCAAAAATACAACAGGCACCAGGGTGGAGGATTGAGCTCACAACCTCCTGCATTCCAAGCGAGGCAGTTAACACCTTGCCACCGCGGTGATAGGGTAGAATACCTCTTAAACCAGGTGCATTGTAGTCATATAAAGCAGCTTTTTTGAACCGTGGGTCTCGTTATCAGGAAGGGGTCGTGACTCAAGAGTAATAACAAAACAAGTTAGAAAAAAATCATGTATATGCATGGAATATATATGACGTTGACCAAACAGTGGATTCGAACCCATCATCTCAAAAGTACCGGTTCACTGCTCTGGCCACTGAGCCACACGGCCACCTCCAGTTGGAAGTATTTCTGTAACTCAGGGGTGGAAAACCTTTTTTCCTTACTCAGGTCTAAATAGGACTTTCAAAACCCTTTAGCAGGCCACAGATTAACACACACCTCAGTAACCTCTTCCAACTGCAAGAGGTCATTGCAGAGAGAGAAGTGAATGAGCGGCTAATTTGCTCGCGGTGACGGATAAATATCGCCTTGCAGGCCATTGTGAAGTGTGTATGTATGTTGATCTTCTTCCGCACCGTACATAGCCAACCGTGCTAAATCGGAGGTGCGACTGGCAAGTGGTAGGCCTCATTGTGGCCATGGGCCGTGTGAAGTGAAGTCACGGGGGCCCCAGGTACACCCTTCCCCGCTCTAAATCGTGAGCGACGTTGTGTCCGGGCAACACACCTGGCTATGAGCATGCCGTTGAGCAACAGTGCCATAGCAATGGGGTGGACGCCGGATCCGATGGCCCCGATGAGTATGCCACGTGTGGTAGCGCAGAGTTCACAGTTCAGGCGGCCTGCACACGTGTGTGCAGAGATGCACGCACACGCACGATAATACACGGGGTACGTTAGCCACGTCGCAAGTCGCCGTTATGGCACCGTGCTTAAATTCAAATTATACCATACCTGTTAACCCCTTATCAGTGCCTACGTTATTACAGACCAATTCAGACTTTATTGGTCACCCCGTATCCTTATAAATATCAACGTTCATCCTACAAAGTCTCGTATTTAAACGGCTTTACACAGTATGGACCTGAAAACTAAATTTCCCGAAACAAGAATACGGGTAAACCGTATGGGTTGACAGCTATGATATACGTCCACTCGGTAGAACGGTTCAAAATTATGGCTCATCGGATTCAAAAAGTGATGGAATCCACGATGGAATCCAGTTCAATTTTAACAATGCTTGAACTGACCGGCATGTGCAAACACGTTCAATCCGTACGGCCCGCTCCGTTGTCATTGTTCGGTGGTAGCCATCATTTAGGATGGCGCCGGGGCCTACCGCTTGTCGCACGGCCTCACGGTTCAGATCCACCGGCTGCTGTAATTAGTACCGCGGTAGTGTGCATTAACCGTAAAAAATATGCACCACCTGTTTTCACAGCGGACACTAAAGATCCCGTGACATCGTTTGGGAAGGGGACGCCATTTACCAACGACTCGAATGGAATCTACAAAACAATAATTGCCCCCTACTGCGAAAACTTGGCAGGATCCTCATGAAATAGCGCCATGAGACTCGGTGAGGCTTTTCCCGAGTAAAGAAGCAGAATAAAGCAATGGTGGTAGGCCTTATCGGTCACTCACCAAAAATAAATCACTGCGTCGGAAAAGTTTTGGCCATTTGTTTGTGTATTATTACGAGGGTTGGTGCCACCACAGCGTAATGTATGTATGCTGAACCTCTTTCGCACCGTACGTAGCCAACTGTGCTAATCGGAGGTGATGGCTTCCCATGCTGGACTTGCAATCCAGTGGTCGCCAGTTCGATTCCATCAACCAGGATGGCAGGTGACATGATGGGCAAGTATCTTAAATCCCCCCCCACCACTTCCTCTGTCCTCCTAGCAGTGTACAAGGGTACACCACAGTGAGTGGATCGGCAGTCATGTGTGGTGGGGTAAAGTGTGGGTACTCCCACCTTATGAAAGATATGGAAGAGTAGGCCAAATACCCTCCACTCGTGGGGCTCTCTCGAGCTCTAGTGGAGGCCTTCCCGTCAGCAGTGCCGTGATCAAGAACTTGCAGGGCTACACCGATTTTGCCTGACTGCGCACACGTGAATGAGGGAGTTGAGAGGGACGGAGGTGGGGACCGACGGCCGTCTGCTGCCGTACTGCACACACACGACCAATGGAGAGGGCAGGGCGGGAGGTGCGCGGGCGGGGGGCTACATCGGCCACTGAACATTATGGAGGAGAGTTCATCCGTGCCAGCTTGCGTACAAACGAGGTTCTCTCCTATAATTCATAAAATACCGCAGAACGCCTACTGGGATCTTGCCGCGGCACGCCGGTTAGCGAAGCACTTCCCTCGTACACCATGGCCTTTCGTAGTGGCTTGAGGCAGCGGTGTAGGCCATGGAATACGAACGGGACCTTAGAGCGCTCCTTCCGCTAGCTCGCAGGAGGCCCATGGGCAAAGCCCAGCACCTGTGTAAGGGTCACGGCGAAGGCATCAACAGCGCTGGTTGATGACTCCGGTGGATGAACCCTATAGGTCCGCTCAAGGGTTGGCCTCTCATCTCACCAGCACACAGCAAAAATGTTAGCTGTTCGCCGCAGTCGTTATCGTTCGAGATGGACAGAAGAAGAAGTGATGGTGGTGGCAAGGTCAGCGTGCAGGGCCATGCGTGATTCGGGGCGGAATGTGATACGGTGGTGCGGTGCGGTGGTGCGGTGCGGTGGTGCGATGTGGTGGTGCAGTGCGGTGGTGTGGTGCTCACCGCCCAACAAAGACTCGGTCAGGACGACCTGGTGGATCATGGTGACGGTGAGGAAGGGGATGAACGCGCTGGGAAGGGCGGAGGCCAGGGAAGCTTCGCGCACCTGCATCAGCGTACGGAGCATCGAGTTGGACACCAACCCCCCCATTGCCGCCCCGACCCCCATCAGAGGGGCCGCGTTGTTGAAAATCTTTCTGCGCACACGCGAGGAGCACAAAGACATGCTCTGAATGCACGCGAGAAGAAAAATATACACCGAATAAAAATGTCAACTTGTGATGCCCCGGTGCCACAGATCTAGCGCTTGCTCTTGGAGTGAGACAATGACTCTAGAGGCGCAAGTGACCACAGACAATTGGGAAGGCAGCAGCAGCCACGCGATGAGCAACCAACAACAATTGCCCAAGCTCTGCGGTCCTTAATATACAAAGGTGTTTTCGGACACTTAACTAGGTCCTTACATGTGAGAGGAAACCGGAGCACCCGAGGGTGAAACGTTCTATTCCGTACAGAAGGAACAGGTGGAGTTCACATTTTTCCTATTCCGTCTTCTACTGGTGAGTCAGGGTACGGGAAGGGAGATTCGCAACATTTGTGCAATCCACCAAACCCACGCTCCCTCCACAATGCTTGCTTAGAATTTGAGTTGCTCACAACAGAAAGTAAAATTGTCAATGATCAGCAGTGGCTCGGATAAAAGAAAAAAATATTAATAACTCTAAACATATTTAAATTAGGGTATAAATAATATGTATTGCTGACATACGTATAAATGGGGGTTAAAGCTTAGAATGTCATTTGTTTTTATTGCTTCTTAAATTAGTCTGTCACATGCAATGAGTGAAGTGGCAGCTCATATTATGAGCAAGCGCGTTGAAGGTTATCCACATGATAATCCGCTTTGTTGAGCTATTATTTGTGATAGCTAGGTTGCTTCTGAAAAATCGCTATATAGCTCAGTGTGGCCTTACCTGGTAAAATAAAAAAATAGTTTAGTTTTAGGTATGAATCAGTGGGAATAGTATGGTTAATTCACAACCTTGACAATCAGCAAACGGAAATAAACCACAACATGGATAGTTAAGTGTAATTTTGCTGGGGTATTTCTGGGGCAGTTCTAAACACGTCTCCCCGGGGCCATTACCTGTCAGAGGAAGACAGCTTTTCCATCTGATCGAGCAATCTCGCCCGCAGTTCCCTGCCCGTCACAGGGCTGATGCGGGGCTGCTCCAGATCATTTTCCAGCTCATTGTCCCAGCCCATGTCATCCTTCAGCTCCTCCCTCGTCGTCGTCATCTTCATTGCAGTCACGTGGCACGATTGATCACTCTCGCTGTGAAGGAGGAGGAAGTGATAGGTTGGGTGATGCGTCTCACTCAGTTCTAGGATCTAAGGTTGGCAAAAAACTCCATTCCTCACACACCACCCACCATTTCCAATTTTACCCATGTTCTACGTTCCAATGCAAAATTAAGGTGCGAGTTACACGCTGCACGTGCCTGATGCTTGGTAATCATGTTTCCAAGTGACACAATCACGGGGCTTATTCGGCAGAAGAGATCTTGCGCTGCGTGTACTTGGGTTCACCACACGGCAGCGTGCCGACTCCAGTGGAGAGATTGTTTCCACGTACGTGAGCGCACGTGTCTCACGTGACTCAAAATAAGATACCCACGTGACGTACGTAGCAACGACTCAAAAATGACGATCAATACGTAATTCAAAGAAGAAAAAGAATCGATTTTTGCCACCCGAATCACGAAATAATTACTCAGATCGTTACACAACGGGAGTCGCAACCGTACCGTCGTTCACTCTCCACGTCTCCACTCTTGTATGTGTAGTGACATCGTTGGATGTCACCATGTTGTGGATGTAGTATCGGCCCTAGAGGGGCACGGTGTGCGCTGAATAATAGCGCTGGATGGCACCACGCTTTAAGTGCAGTGCCGACCCTACAGGACAGGGTGTGTGGGTGCCGACCGAAGGATACGGTTGTGTGAGGCCATGGCACTCTGGTTGACCCGCGAGGACACGTGGCCGGTTAAGCTGACAGAGGGGGACCAAGAGGGGGCTAGGGGGGGGTCACGTGATTGGGACCCAGATCCTTCCCGAGGATTCTGGAATGTAGACGTGGCCAAGGGCGGAGCCGGCCACGCCACAGAGAATATAAGTCGGGTTCCGAGAGGGACCAGGGTTGTTGTTCATCCTGGAAGAAACCCTTCGTCTACGATCTCCGTTCAACGAGTCTCCAACACGTGGACCTGGGCCGAAGTCGTTGGTCCCGGTCCATAGTAGCAGTTACGTTGTAACTAGTGTAGTTAGCCTGGTGGTCACCACCTTAGGTTGTTATTCTGTTCAGGGGGAAGTTATCCCCGTGTGTTAGAACTGAATAAATGTGTTGTCTCTAAAGTCTACGTCTGCGACTCAGTTGAACCCATTACATGTATCATTTATGTATGTTGGACTTCTTTCGCACCGTACGTAGCCAACCGTGCTCATTGCAGGTGCTGGGGGAGGGGGGGGCAACAAACTACGGGGTAACTATCCGAGCCGTAGTTTCAAGTTTCATTTATTAGGTATAGCCCTGTGAGCCATGCGGCTCTTAAGTCGGGTGCAACCGCAACAAACAAAATTTGAACACAGAACATCTTAAAGCGACAACGCGTAACAGAAACATCCTGGAATAAACCAGCAAATATTCCACACAAAAAAAACTTAGAAAAACGCTGTGTGCAAAAATCAACGTGGTGCAAGCCAACACCGACAACCATAAGACAATTTAGATTAACCATATGTTTTCGAATCACCAAAATAAAGCTATAAAAACAATGTAACAACAGTAATCATAGGAAATGTGCACACACGCATGCACACACACACACACGTACACACATCCCCACCGATCTCTTCACATTCTCGGGCGACGTTCACACAAACACCAAACGACCGCGCAAAGCAAACGCGTCGCCGACGTCTCCTTCCCCCTGTGCGTGGCAGGCGCCTCTCCCAGAATGCCGCACCGTCGGCCACGGAGCCGGAGCACTGCATTGGGTTGCACGGCCACAGCCGCACGACTCAAGACTTTTGTCATGAACTTTGCATTCACTAGGGAGATGTTGGTGCAGTGTCGGCCTGTTGGTTACCTCAGGTACAACAGCCTCACGCGAGGTACAATTTAACAGCTGGATCTCGACGCTCAGGTGGGGTAACTTAAAACAAATATATACGAATGCTCGGAGAGAGAGTACGCAGTCTCACCGCGTCACACGCACGGAGCCGTCGTTACACGTGGAGCTGTCACACGGCAGAGCCGCAGTCACATGGAGCCATCACACGCGTGGAGCAGGGCACACGGGCGCCGCCATGGTGACCTACGGAAGCTGACGAGGAACATCAAGGTCCCTCCCGGGCGAAACCATTTCCGAATCTGAGCAGGGGGGAAGTGGTGGTGTTAAGTTACCGTAGTTCAGGCGGTGCGCGTTGCTGCAAGGGGACGGTTGAGTGGCGAGGGTGTTTCTTAAATGGTACAGTCCACAAGGACGCCTTAATTTTATTTTGATTATTTTTATTGTATTTTTTTGTTTTTTATTTACGTCACTTTACCGAAAGAACGAAGATTATGAATGGAAACTAAACACTTTTCATTTATTTTACCAGGTAAATAGCTCTTTTTTCAGAAGCGTTCCTACCACAAATGATAGCTCAACAAAGTGGTTTATCACGTGGAAATGTACAGCAGCCAAATTCTCCAAACGCACGTTTCTTAATGTGGAGGGGAAAACCCGGACGAACCGGAGAAAAATCCACGCGACCATTGGGAGAGAGACACCGCAAACTCAAAATATACAGCAGCAGCAGGCGTCAGGGTCAGGATCGAACACACGACCTCCTGTATACCAGGCAAGGGAGTTCACATCTCGCCACCGTGATTGGGCCAGCGGTAGCGCCGTTGACGGTTCTCACGCGCGGCCACCCCGGTTAATACCGCGCGCGTGCACTAAACATGAACACGACACGGATGTGAAAGATCCCGTGACGTTATTTTAAAACGAGTAGGCAATTGCGTGCCAGAGTCACCGACTAAACCTAAATTTGAAAAATTAACACCGTAAATGTACGAAATTTGGGTGGTTCATAGCACAACACCGCCGCCTACTGCAAAACTTCAGCGGACAATGTGAAATATAGCGCCGTTGTGATATCCATGCGTTGGAGAATAGCGCGAATAGCAGTTGTAATACATTGTTGATATTATTTGGTTTGAGTATCGGTGCTCTATCCACTGCTGCATGAAGGCCTCCCAATTACACCGTCGCCATCCCTCGCGGTCTCGCTGTGCCACAATCCGTCTCAATCTGGCAAACGTGATCGTGACGGGTGCCGCAAGATCCAGCCGCGTCCGTCCAGTGCTCGCCTAGCTGCATTGGCTTCCGGTTGCCGAACGAATACATTATAAGGTCGCAATCATTACACACGAAGTTATTGCCACAATTGAACTACGATACCTAAAGCATCGCGCGAACTCTGGTCAACCTCACAGCAGCGGCTTTTGACTGGCCATTGAACAATGATGATCACCGCATCGCGCTTTCAGATGCGCTTCTGTGACCGTCTGGAACGCTCTTCCTTCCGATATTAAGAAGCCGCTGGAGCTATGCACTTTCAAATAATCGATATCAGCGGTCCCCAACCTTTTTGGCACCAGGGACTGGTTTCGTGGAAGACAATTTTTTCACGGACGGGGGGGGGTTAATCATTGGGTCTTTCCCCCTTTTCAAAGAAGCTCTCCAGCGACGTTTGTTTTTTTTACTCATTGTGGCTACTAGGGGTTAGAGCTTGTGGGCTTACCAACACTGTGACTGAGACAAGTGCGCAGTGCGGGAAAGAGGCGCGGACGGAAGTGGTAAATAAAACAATGGGGACGGGCCACGCGCGGACTCACCGCTCACCTCCTGCTCTGCGGCCCGGTTCCTCACAGGCCACGGAACGTAACCGGTCCGCGGCCCGGGGGTTGGGGACCCCTGATCGAGATTGCTAATTTCTTTAGAACTGTTTATTGCGTTTAGTTTTTGTCCTTCCCCCGCACCTCCGATGAGTATGGTTGGCTACGTAAGGTGTGAAAGAAGTTCAACATACATACGAGCACATTAAATCCCTCCATCTCCACACTGGACGACCCGGAAAGCAATGTGGAACTCTTTGGTGAACTTGTCCCAATAGGGTACCGCGGTGGCGAGATGTTAATTACCTCACCGAGTATACAGGAGGTCGTGGGTTCGATCAAGACCCTGACACCTGCTGTAGTTTGGAGTTTGTGTGTTCTCCCCGTGGTCGCATTGATTTTTCTCCGGGTCCTCCAGTTTTCCCTCCACATTTGAGAATCAACGTGCGTTTAGAGTGTTTGGCTCCTGCTATAAATGTCCACATGATAAGCCACTTCGTTGAACTATTGTCTGTGGCCAGGTGGCTTCTGAAAAAGAGCCTTACCTGCTAAAATTAAAATAGTTTATAGTAAAATATTAAAAAATTGTAAACAAAAAATATTTAATACTTGTGTGAAACCAATCTAAATTCCAGGCCAAAATTACTGGGAGCCCAAGTTTGATGTTTATTGTTTTGGAATTGTATTTAGTCCTTAGAACAGCTTAACTATGTTTCTGCCAAATCTCTGCTTTCTATCCCTTCTAGAACATTATCTAGAATGCATATCGGAAATCTATGTATGTACGTGTTAGATGCGTACAAAAACAACCGCGTAACAATGATAATTATTAAACATATTGGCATATTTCTAGATTAGAAGCTTTCGTGACTGCAAGGATTCATATTCTTTGTTTTTTTTTGATGCAGCAATCTTGCTGTGACTGTTCCACCTGAAGACGGAAGCTTGTGTTGCCTCCGAAACGTCGTGATTTATTGTTTTCTTTTATTTTAATTTATTCTATTTTACCTACGTGACTTTACCGAAAAAAAACCAAAGAGTATATTGGCATATTTTTAGGAAGGAAACCATCACACTTTTCCAAAACCGATGCCATTTGCAGCAATCACTTTTTTTTCCGGCAAGGTACACTGAAGCCTCCATAGTCCCCACATGTGGCTGGAGTTTGATCATCTCTCCATCATAGTTTTGTCAGAGTATTCACGAGTTTAAAATTCCGCTTGCTTTATTGCTCTCATCACCGGCGTGTGCTGAAAAATTATTCTGGTTCGCGTGCGGTACATCTTGAGAACAACCGACGCTTGGAACAAATTCACCGCTGACATTTTTATGCCAACGCCAGGTGGACGCCGATCAACTGTTTATTATTTTGTTCTTTTGTTTGGGACATCACAAACAATGACCCCGTGTGTGGTTGAACATCCTGCAGGTGCAGCTCTGCGCAGTCGATCATTTTCCACCTCTTTTCACGAACATTCGTGTTTACTTGTTGGTGGGGTTTTTTTTTCTCCTTTCCAACAGACTCGAACCGATTGTGTCCACGCTGAGCTCCTTTGCCTTGTGGGCCAAAATGGGTGGGCAACGTCAGGCCTTGAAGAGGGCCAGACCCTGTGAGGTGTGGGTCCCGTCTTTGCATATTTATCGCTCGTGGAATAATTTCAACTTGTAACGCTGGGCCGCCACGGTATTCACTCGCTCGCGTGGAGATAGGACGACTCGCAGGCGCAAGGATGAACCACAGACGAGTGGGAAAGTCAGGGACAGCCACGCAGTGAGCCGAAACCACAATTTGGAGCACCTGGATGAAACCCACGCGTGCGAGGGGGCAACACTCTATCTCATACAGAAGGGACAGATGATGTCTGTATGTTGACCTTATTTCGCACCGTACATAACCAACCGTGCTCATCGGAAGGTCCGGGGGAAGGACAACAAACTAAACACGAACAGTATTTCGAAAGAAATTAGTTTCCAATTTATGTGTAAAAGTGCATAGGCTCCATTAACTTCCACATTATATTAGTCCACTCTTGCTGTACTCTCTTCTGCTGACAAGCCAGGATGTGGCACCTTGGACGCCTACTGGAAGTGAGTATTCCAACATTTCTCCGGCGATCCACCAACCCTCGCTGCTGCTGCCTCCACAGCGCTGGATTACAGGCAGCGCAGTACAGCATAGCCACCGCCACCACCACCGCCACTGCTACCCAAGGAGAATAGATAGCTTGGCTGCGCTGCGGGCACGTGTTTGTAGGCATGCGGCGATGATTTATACGAAAACCCATGTGGTCGGCAGTTGTCCAGACATGGTTCACGGACTTCGGAACTCGGGATGGATTTTTACATAAACACTGGAGGTCTTAGGCGCTGTTTGTTAATGGCAACTATGGAAGAGTGTTTTTGCACTCAGATAGCCGTTTATGTACGACAATATGAAGGTAATAGTTTAATTTTACATGGTGTCATCCATCAATGTAAACTCTTAATGATATAGTAGGGCTGGAGAGCTGAATGATGTCAAGTCTAACGATGCATTAGAAGAGCTAACAAGCTGCACTTTTCTCCGAATATGGCCGAGTATATTCTTATAACTTTCCAGATCTAATGAGATCGGGTGTGTTCCAGGTGATATGGTCATAGCAACGAAATTGAGCCTGGATTGTTGCTTGGGTGTTTGACCACCGTGCATAACAGGTGGTATAAGCTGTGGAGCTAACTTCCGGGCAGCAGAGTGCTGTGCAGCAAAATCCATTATTATACTCTACTTCTATGCCCTTACGTATGCAGCGGCGTGGTGTAATCTGGATAAATTGTCCCCACGATCGATATGGCACAGATAGGCCCTCATCCGGCATTGGACTATTCAGGAGGGCTGTACGTCTACATGCATATGTAGTGGACACTCTCCTCGCCAACGCGCGCAGACAGGTCACGGTTCCACTTCTTTTATTCGACACCCAGTTCCCTCCTTCATCCACAGCTCTCTCCTTCCTTCACTCCTACCGACGTCCTTCGTGTCGTCACGGCGCCTTCTCCGATTCCCTCCCCTGATCCCCGTCTGCTCATTACCAACTACCAATCCTCTGTCTCCATACATCGGGGTTATTCCTGTTCAACTCGGTGCGTGTAGGGGGTAGTCAATGCCGAGGTCATAACTGTCAACCCCTTATCAGTGCCTACTGTATTACAGACCAATTCAGACCTTATTGGTCACCCCGTCCCATCACAAGGGGGAAACACAAATACATAGACACATAAAAACAAAATTTTGCCCGTATTGAAACGGCTGTACGCCGTATGGACCTGAAAACGAAATTTCCCTGTTACAAGAACACGGAGTAAACCGTATGGGTTGACAGGTATGCGAAGTAGTTGGGACCGTTATGGAGGCTTGTTATGTACGTGCATTATGTTGAACTTCTTTTGCACCGTACGCAGCCAACCGTGCTAATCGGAGGTGTTTCGCATAAGT